TTATGCTGAAAAAGTATAGAACAAGGTCCCAGGAACTATTAAAATACATGCAGGATGTAAGAATTGCAGAATCCCGATCTACAGGTTGGTTCAAGTATGATGAACAGTTTCGCCTACTCAAAGTGTCTAACCCCCAGTCTTCCTGGGGCCAAATAAACAGCGAATTGTGGCTATTGTATATCACGAACAACAGTCTAACTCAGGCTCAAGATAGGGTTAACCCTCAAGGCAAAGTCAATCACACAAATAACATAATTTCAGCCCAACAAAACCGTTCATCATCTAGTGCTAATGCTACCCAATATTGTCATTACTATAATGCTGGTAAATCATGCAGGTTTTACCCAAATTGTAGGTTCAACCATGCATGCAACTTGTGTGATGGGAGACATACAGCATCCATTTGCGAGAGCACTAAACAATTCTAGCCTTGTATCATCAATTTGTACACTGGGGAAAACTCCTATTAATGTTAACATATTGTCTCACTACACTACCTACATTAATTTATTATAAAGAAAAAACAGTTATGTTAAATGGTGTCAATCTGGGTTTCAAATTGCAGTACCAGGGCCCCAGAGATTATAGGGAGGCAAACAATCTAAAAAGTATTCACCAACAAATATTGCACAAGAAAAGATAAACAAAGAAGTCTCCTAACAACGGGTTGGGGGTCCCCTTTGATCATCGCTTATATTGGCATGGTGCACCATTAAAAAGTGGCCACAAGATTGATAAAAACACAGGAAAATAAACAAACAGGTCAACAAGTTCATTACTGAATGGGGGGGGGGGTTATATTACATGATATCATATCGGTCATCAACATAGGTCTATTTTGGGACACACCTCTCTGATGAGGGCAATCAAGTGATGTTAAATAACCTTATGTCGGGTGTGCTTATAATAAAATAATGAATAAAACATGGGTAGTTTTGGTGCATAGGGTATGGAGGAACATCATATCGATGTCTGTGGCGGGTCTGGGGGGATATAAGTGGGAAGTTTTCAAATTATCTGGCCTTAGGGTTTCCCCCCATCTGTCATCTAAGACAGAGGGCGGTTTGTAAAAAGGAAATTTTTACATATGTACGTATGTGTTTTGGAAAAGTGTGTCAAAGATTGGGGTCACTCAAGTTAGACAGTCTTGGTGCCCACTCCACCTCTTCACACAGGAGGGGAGGCTTAGTCCTGGAGTACATGGTAAAGTACTAACAACCAGGTGCAATCACTGGGAAACGGGGTAAACGGATATTTTGAAAACTCTTCCAATCCCAAATGGGTGGTATTTTCATAGTTTGGGATTTTTGGTACTAGCGCTCAACGCCAGGCCACCAGTTTCCCCGTTATACCTTCTAGGTTGGTATACTGGATATCCCCTCGGACCCTGGGTTAACACAATGTGGCCATTTACTTCCATTGTCCCCCTTTTTCTGGTCAAATTGTAAATTGATATAGTATGATATTTTGTCTAATTGATTCAATAAATTTGGAAAAAGAAACATGTGTTTGTGACTGTCTCATCAGAACAGTTAAGAGAGTAGAGGAAGTACAAACTTATATGAAATACAAGAGTCTGAGGTTACAAAGGCGTTTATTTTAAATGTTCAATTAACCAACATTGTAACGTCAAATACAACGTTGAGAAAGTTTGTCAAAATTATACTAATTTTCTTAATTTCAAACACGGTTTGTAGCGTCTTCTCCATTCAAAAAACATATCCATAACACTTAACACCTAGTTTGCGAACAATTGTACAAATATAGCTTGAATAAGAATGTCATTGTTTTCAAATTCTTTAATTTACCATGTAACTCTATTAATTCTGCAACAATGAAGCACACATCACGTTCAATGACGTTCCTAACTCTTTCGACAATATTCTTAACTTTAATCTGTTTCTTTGCAGACAATCAATCGTCCGATTCAAACTTGCTACCACTCAAAAATTGTATTTTCCATTTAATACAAATACACAGATTATTTTTCATACAGATCCTGGTTTATACGGATTTTTTAAGCTTGTAGAAAGAGTTTCCAGAATGTAAAGTACAATTTTATTGCTACTTACTGCTCAGTGACGTCCTCCAACGTCATGGTTTTTTGCTTTTTTTAATCCAGTCCATATGTATTTAGAAACTGATATCTTTTAAATGGAGTGACATATTACATAGCCTGGTTTCATTTTAATTAATACAGCAATACTTTATTTAAACATGTAGATTTTATTTTGTTTCAGCTCCATTTATCAGAGGGTGGTTGTAAATACTATAAAGTGAAAATTAGTAAATTATTCAATTTGGACGGTGCTCCGTGACCCCATTTTTGCTGTTCTAAATCCTTGGTAATTTTAACAAATATGAAGATGCATTCCAATTTTTTTACTCAAATTATTTGAATCTGCTGTCAAAATATTTTTACCAAATTTGGATATAATCCGACGTTAAATAAAAGAGTTAGGACAAAAGTCTACGAACTTTTTGAATGACCCTCGTACATCGCTAAAAGTCTTGTTTATCATAGATTGATACATGTATATAGCGCATTCAGACAGCGCAAGAGCAAATATACGCTAACTTGTTGAAACATGATTTTCCGCTAAATGCAGTGTATCATACATGCAAAATATGATACATTTACAGTATCTCATGCATTACATTTATATTTGAGTGATGTTTCTTTAATTAGCAACTGCAATCTAAAAAGACAAATCGATTGCAAAATTTTGGAAATATATTTTGATTAATGTTAATTCACAATTATATTAACTTGGAGAAGAATTTGTTTGTTTTTTTTTTTTTACTTAATGTATCCTTGAATATAACCAATAAGGAAATTTAAAGTTTAACATTCACTTTTCATCAGTAATTTATGCAAAAAGAAATATAAACAGATTAAATACATTACTATTACATTATTATCAAACAACCAGTGTGTATGTTTTTAAGTTCAAATTTAAAACAATTACTTAAAAAAACATATTTTAAAGACTATATAAAAAATAGATATATTATTCACCGTAAAATAGAATAAAATTGATAGGATTTAACTCATTTAAGTTAAATCGATTTATCAAAGCTAAATAGCGTTTATGTCACTCTTGGGGTTTTTCGGGTTTTTATCCACCTGTAGCTCTGCAGCAGGGATATGTGAAATGTGACGTCACGGCCACCCTGCAGTCTCCCTGCATATCTTTTAGCATTCAGCACGTGGAAGTAGCAAGCTTTGTCTTTGATAACATTATTCAGACTTATTGTGCGATCTTCGTTTTTATACCGAGTTTTTCTACGGAAAATTCCATGTCCCTTATTGCTGCAGGGGCTTACAGCGTTTTAACTTTCTTCTAATAGACACCTGGCCCAAGGATCATGAAACAAACTTAGACTTAAGTCAAAATTTTTATCAACCACAGAATCTTTATTTGTTGCTGAATTATTCTCTAAATTTACAGAAAAGAACATTTCTATGGAAGAATATTGGAAAATAATTTAATTTTGGTATACTTGACTTCTTCAAGGTTTAAGTACAACATAACGATTTTGACTTAAGCTTAAGACGTTTCATGATCCTATGATGTTTTCAAAGTCCGTGTTTTACATGTAAGTCCTCTTTAAATATTTTTATTATTTACAGAGTTTTGAGATCAATAGCTGTTCGTTATCCTCGCCTATTTACATATAAGGTAGAACTATTTAATCGAATAAATAAATAAATAAATGACTATATATATATATATATATATATATATATATATATATATATATATATATATATATATATATATATATATATATATATCTCTGAAATATAGATATCTTGACTTAGAGGGGCGAGTTTAAATAAATTTTTATTTTAAAGATTCACACCAATTTAATTTAATTTTTTTAATTGTTTTTAAATCCATGTTTGTTATCTGATTGTGTTCTATGAGAATATGCATCAGTGTTACAAAAGAACACCTTTCATTAAATTGTGTTTCTAATTAAATGTGCAAGATTGTAAGATCTAGACAAAGATTCGTTGCCTGGAATAATGTTTTGTCTTTAACAAAAACTTTAACATTAATTGAATAGTTCTAATTAGTTGCGTAAAGAAGGGTCATTTCTAAAAATAGATATGCGTCATGAAATCCTTTGAAAATAATTCTTTCTGTAAATTTCTGTCTATTCCTCTCATGCTTTACTACATGGAATAATCCAAATTTCCACTTAATGTTTGCAGGTATAGTATTTCATTGAATGGCATATGTCATAACTTCTCAGTTTTGAACATTAAACATGTTTTGATTTGTCATTTTACGAATCCTTTACCCGGAAATTTATATATAAAAATACATTTTAATTATTTCCGTTGCATACCGTGTGCAAGAACGATAGACTAAATTCAGAGGCTAAGGATTGTGAAAGCAGCTGTATTTAATTGCAAGGAAACAGTTTTTAATCAGCATATTGCTCTTTTCTTCCCTACATTAGATAAAAAAGATATACAGCAAAACTCGTTTATAGCGAATTTCAAGGGACCCAAGAAAAAACTTCGCTATAACCGTAATTCGTTATATGTTTATAGCGAATTCGTAAGAAATGTATAGCGAATTCGTTATAAAACAGTCAGCTAACAGTACTTCAACCTATCGTACGTCATACATGAATTGATATAACACTTACAGTTTAGTTACAAAAATAGTCAATACAACCTCTTACTTTCTTTAATGCATATTTTAAGAACTGTGTATAAAATATTTATATTTTATTTACTTTTGATCATTTAATATTATATAATTTGTGCATTTTAGATATCAGAAGAAATTGAAACCTGTCTCGATCATCATTGCGTAATACCAATGCTACCGGATACACATTTATCAAATAAAAAATAGAACCAAAAAATAAATACTTTATTTCCGGAATATTTTTTTATGGTGGCAAATAAATACAAATCAAATACAAAATGGTTTTATACATATGGAGTATTTACAGGTATCTGAAAGTCAAATATCTCGTTATGCATTGTTAAAGTAATCGTGAATAGTTGACTGTTTTGTTTTACTGACATTCACGAACTTCTCAATTTCACAGAGGTAGGTAAAGAAAACCTCTGGAACATTTGCACTTGCTTCTAAACATCGCCTCAAGGTGTGAATAGAGTTTTTACCATCATCAAAAGTTGGGAATTCTGTTGAATCTATGATTTCGTCGTCATTGTCACTTTCCGTGCTAACTGATTCAGTTTGTGAGTTTCCAAGAATATCGTTAACGATGTCATCTTCGGATCTTGTCTCAACACTGATCAGGTTTTCGTCCACACGAACAATATCATCGAAGGATCCGTTAAATTTCTGAGCAAACAATGCTAATGGAATGTCATCATCTTCTTCGAACTCATCATCACAATCATCAATAACTTCTGCGCTTTTGTCCTCAAAACCTGCCTTTCTAAAACAGTTTGAAATGCATGACACGCTAACATCACTCCAAGCCGACTTAAGAAATCTAATTGATATCAACACGTTGATGTTTGGTTCCATTTTCTTTTCGTCACACTGAAATTAAATTAATATGTTAGGTAATAATCATAATTATTATGTTTATTTATCAATTAAAGAATGAAATGTCATGCTTCGTAGATAAACACAGGTGCGCGCCGATGCCATTTATAGCCTCGGGACTAAAACCGCTACTTACACAAAAATAGACAATAGAAATAAAGGTGTGATCTTACCTGAAGTATGTATTTTATCAGGCGCTGACGATATTTGATTTTCAAATTGTTGATTATACCCTGGTCCATTGGTTGTAGTATGCTCGTTGTATTTGGAGGGAGAAATTTCAGAGTGATGGATTTGAGATTAGGGACTCTCGGGTGGGCTGCACAGTTGTCAACAAATAAAAGCACCTTACGTTTTTCTTTTAGAAATCTGCGGTCAAGAGTTCGTATCCATTCTTCAAAAATAGAACTAACCATCCACGCTTTTTTGTTGGCTCTGTAGGTTACGGGAAGCGATTTTACCCCCTTAAAACATCGAGGGTTTTCAAATTTTCCAATGACTAGCAGGGGTAATTTCTCTGTCCCGTTCATATTTGACGCAACCATGAGCGTTAATCTCTCCTTTGATCTTTTCCCCCCATGACACTTTTCACCTTTCATTTGTAGAGTTCTGTCCGGTAGAAGTTTGTAAAATAGCCCGGTTTCATCTGCATTGAAGATATCTTTAGGATCGTAATCTTGTAAGATCTGCGGCAGCTTCTCCTTCCATTCGTCAACGCTTTTAGGATCAACGATTGCGCTCTCTCCAGTTATCGCACGGCACACGATTCCATGTCGATTTTTAAAGCGATCCAGCCACCCTGTATTGGATTTGAAACTGTGGTCTCCTAATTTCTTGGCAAGGTCTTCTGATTTTTGAAGGAGTATGGGACCGCTTATTGGAATGTTTTCCTGTCTCTTTTCATTGAACCACTCTAATAATGCCGCATCTACAGTCTCATGCGGAACGGACCGGTGACGTTTTCGTGATGGACTGATTCCTGTAGATTCGTAATTTTTAATTATCTCTTCTTTGTTTTCATATATTCGATCAATGCATACTATCTTTGCAAGATATATAATTGTATTCAGCGGCAGCTCACACAAATTGGTCCGACCAAAATAGTTCCATCATGATTAAGTAGATACAACATTATTGTTCATGATAAGAGTGAAGTTGTGTATTTCATACGTTAAAGAAATCAAAAATAACGTCAAAATATTATTAGAAAATCACTTTCCCCCCGAAATGCAAATAAAAAATATCAATATTCCTACGCTCGCTCCCTCCTCAGCTTTTTTTTTTTTTACATGTTTGATAATAGAGAATATTTAGGTCATTCTTCGATTCATATTATTTCACCGATGAATTGATAATACTATATCAACAATTGTATTAAGTACATGTTTATAGTCTGTTAATTATCATACAATTTCCTTTTAAGAAAAAATAAATCATTCTGTGTGTGTATATTATTAAATGACGGAATTTTCAATCCCTGGCTGGATTCTGCTCACGTGTGTACACTTTGTAAACTGTAGGGGATAAAATGTGTGGCAAAACGAGAACTGGGTCGGACATTCGGGTTCGTGTTGAAGTTCAGCATAGGCTTACCATTTTATATAGAACTTGAATAATGTAAGTAATTTCTGCGACGAATACATTAGCATATTTCAGTAATTTTCAAAACAAAAAAGGTTTTCAGTTTAGTGTATATTATTAAATGACGGAATTTTCAATCCCTGGCTGGATTCTGCTCACGTGTGTACACTTTGTAAACTGTAGGGGATAAAATGTGTGGCAAAACGAGAACTGGGTCGGACATTCGGGTTCGTGTTGAAGTTCAGCATAGGCTTACCATTTTATATAGAACTTGAATAATGTAAGTAATTTCTGCGACGAATACATTAGCATATTTCAGTAATTTTCAAAACAAAAAAGGTTTTCAGTTTAGAATTTTCCGATCCGGTCTTGATTTTCCTAACACGGCCATTTTAAACACAAGTTGTTGCAGATGCAAATGTTAGAACAAACTATATATAGTTCAACAGGGATTGTATAATTTTTATTAATCAGAATTCGTATGCATATGATCTAATTAAGAAAAGAAAAGTTTTGTCTGCCATCGTAACTTCTCGGCAAAACAAAACGTGTTCCTCCGAGCTCGCTGGATGCGTTTAACAGCTGCATCGCACGTGTGTAGATCAAGGCTAATGTTGGTCTTGCGGACACAGGTTCATGTAGGCCTATGTGTACCGTTTGTTAGGAGACTGGGTGACCTCACCATGCTCTCGAAATTTACACCAGTTCCATAACTAGGCCCTAGACATTGCAGTTTTTTTTATTAACGTCATTATAAACACTGATAAGCATATTAAATCTAAAAGTCGAATATCTTTGGATATGGGGTAACCCATATCTATTCTTGTTCAAAATTGTACTAAGAGTATTCGGTAAAATATCAAACCTTGTAGCAATTTCTTTTTTAGCGAGGCCACCTCTTTCAACTTCTCTAATGATCTCATATTTAGTCTCTATTGAAATTGCTTTCCGCTTTCTAGACGGCGAAGACATCTTGGTACTGACACTTATCGAGTTAGGATTAACCTAGGACATTGTTGTGAACAAATCTCAAATAAGATGTATTTTAAAGTAAAGAACAATGAACAAAACTCAACACACCTGAATAATTGGCTTGTTTTTGTCGTAAGCCCGTGAGCACTTTATTATCTTAACATTGAAGCACAGATTTTAAAGTTTTATGAACGCGTATATTAAACGAAATTTGTAATGAAAAATATTCGTTATACTAATAAAGAAATGTGTTAAAATATCGTCAGCGGGGGTTTTAAAATCACTTCGTTATAGCCGTAAATTCGTTATAGCCGTGTTCGTTATATACAGCAATTTTTGGTAGGTTTATATAAGGACTCTGCCGGGACTTGAAAAAAAATTCGCTATAGCCGTAAATTCGCTATATCCGTGTTCGCTATATTCGAGTTTTGCTGTATTGTTCAAAAGGAATTTGAATCAAACTCATTTGGTGATTAGTCTTAGCGGAGAGCAAGGTACATGTATTTGTTAATACTGAAAAAAATACTGAAAATTATGAGAGTCGTTCTTATACTTGTATTTATATCTTGTGTTTATATATTTGAAAACATGATATAACTTTTACTTTACATCCTCAATGAAACAAGGAACTAATTACATTTAAATGAGAATTGTTGCTTATCACCTTTATCTCCAATAGGATATTGTTAATTCATTAAAATAAGACAATATTTGAGTGTGTGAAAATATTTATTTATTTTAATATCCGGTGGAATATTCTTCATGGGGAAATCGTGAACATATTCTATATGTATGCTTCTGATGAAATACTTTTTGTTTATGATGAAGGGAATTACAAAAAAATTCAGAAACTAATTCTTATGCCAATAAGATGCCATGCCACTTGATCCCACCTCTGACGTTTTGGAGGTCTGTGTTTGTTCTGCTCCTATTTTGTACTGATTTATGGAATTTCGAGCTTGAATGCTGTTTCTTATCTCCAAATGTGCCAATGAAAATTTGGTAACAATTTTGATATGATAATTCTGTTTTTCTTGTAATGATTACTTAATATATTATTTAAAATTTAAGATTTTAACTACACATCCCTTTTTATAGATAATTTATGCCAAAAAAAATAACTTGAATTAATAACAAACCATAAAAAAGCCTCTGTAATATTTGTGCATAATAACAAACAACGTAAAAGAATTGCCAAACAAGACTTTAAAAAATAGAAACATGTCACTTTAATTTGTTATTTATGAATTTGTTGGAGTTTTTTTTTTCTCTCTGGTGTAAAGAAAAGTCAACATTGATCTGAGAATTTCTTTAAAATACATAAATACTTTTACCTCTGCGACATTTTTATAATTATTATGAATTTAAAGTCTGATTTAAGCCCTCAAGCCGAAAAATGAACAATTTCTTGTTTTTTCAAAAACTAAGGAATTTTTTATGAAAGATGATCCATTTTAGATCAAATTGGTAAAAACAAAGTCAAAGAGGTCTCGATTTTAGAGATTTTTTTTTCATTTTAAAAAAGATATAGCACATTAATTTGTAAGCCACCTTTGGTTGTCGCAAAGTGTTTTGAATATATCATTTCAATCACTTGTAATGTAATTGTGCCTGCATATTTTATTGTATACATATAAAAGAAATGGATTTTACATTACATTCTACATTATGCGCTTGCTATTCTCCAGTTTTCAACGAAAATCTCGTTTCATAGGCTTGTTCCAATATCTCTTTTGTAAACAACATATTTGAATTAAATTGCGATTACCTTGGCCTCGTTTTAGTCAAGAGAGAAAAGAATAGGATGGAAGGAAAACACAAATAAGTATTAAAACTAACTGGCATTTGGTTATAGAAGTTGTATAATTTCTTTGCATATTATCCAATGTAGCGGAAGAATCAAGCTTAAAATCTATAATTTTTTAACAGCATGTTACACTGTAAAGTGAGAAAATTCAGTAAATACCTATTTTAACGCGAATGCAAAAGGAGATTCATAGGAGCAACTACATTTTAGCGCTTCTGCTTGTCTTCAAAATGTTTAAATGTGATTCTTTTCATAATTCGGGCGGGCGCGCGTTTTATTTAGTTGTCACTCATTTACAAAGATATGTATTCTAAATCTCTTGAGAATCATTTTTTCTATTTTTTAGATGTTCGATTCAAGGGGAATGAAGAGAATAAAGACGGTATTGAAATGGATCACATTGGTGTTCTTATTAACCTTCCTAGTGTGTATACCATTTAGAAATTCAAATATTGATATACAGTTAACATCCTACAAATTAGTTCAAGCGTATATGAATTCTGGAATCATCACGTCATTTCCAACAAAGCCCGTAACATGTGATAAAAAGGAAGTTTTTCTTTTGGTCATGGTCCCAAGTGCAGTATCCAACTTTGAACAACGGAATGCCATCAGGAACACTTGGGGCAATGTAACAAATGCAAAGCAGCTTGTTCTTGTTAGATTTCTATTAGGAAAAAGTGGAAACACGGCGCATCAGGATCTTGCAGCAACTGAAAACCAAATTTACAATGATATTTTATTTGAAGACATCATAGAAAATTATGAAAATCTGACAAGGAAGTCTATAGCCATGCTACGTTGGGCGTCCATGAATTGTCATCACGTTCGTTATCTGCTTAAGGTAGATGATGATATAATTCTAAACCTTCCCAGACTTCTAAATGAATTCACGAAACATCCTACCGAAAAATCAATAACCGGATGTAAGGTCAAGGATTCTTCTCCGTTTCGATTATCAATAACAAAATGGAGAGTGTCAAGGACACAATATAAAGAAGACTACTATCCAGATTATATTTCCGGAACTGCGTACGGTATCTTATCACTGGTGATATTTTACACAACCTGTACATGGCAACTCAAAAAGTTCCGTATTTTATATTCGAAGATATTTACATTACTGGTCTATGTAGGAAATATATTGAAGCCCATGCTGTAGAGCATAAGGGTTTCAGTTGTGGATATCGCGATGAGGGGCCTTGTGGAAAGAACTTCCGTTATGGAATCACTGGACATCATTATAGTCCATCAGAAATAAAAAGAATGTGGATAGAATTACAAGATAGATGGTCCAACCGTCGCATTGTAGATATTTCTTTCATTTACGAACTTGTTGACATCTTTAAGTATATATTTCTGTAAAATATACCTTATTTTTAAGAAATCTTTTAAAAAGGTAAATTAATTATATAATTGACGTATTTTGTTTGGCTTCCCAAAATAATAAAAAAAAATTATCTATTTTGTACTAGAGACGACAAGACGACCGTTTTTTGTTTCATTCTTGTATGGATGTTTTAGATAAATTTACAAGCCATACAGATATATCTCAGTTCAATAGCTTGTATTCAAACGGAATATACTGCATATTTTCGTGAAGGATAATGCAGAACCTTTTACATGATATAATGCTTAATATATAATTTTGAAGGAATCCTGTAAAACCAGAAAATTTGGCGCATGCGTGTTTTAGCGCAAACGCAAGTGGAAATGCATTGGCGCAAATAAATTTTAGCGCTTTTATTTGTCATAAAAATATACAAATGTTATATATATATTTTTTTTGTATCCACATCCGTATTTGACTTTTTGGTTAGTCAAGCACGGAAACACAATGCCACTTCCCTATGTAAGTAGATATTCGTCACTTTTACCGTGGTGTTGCAATAACACGGACGTGACACAGTGTTGAAATTTTATCTTAAATAAAAGCAGTGGAGTATTATTGCATTTTATTCAAATTTAAACAATGCATACATCTAAAAAAAAAAGTTACTTGGATAAACGGTTATCATAATCAGGTATAATTGTCTGCAAGCTCAATCGCCATGCTTGATTGCACTGTTTTTCTCGAGGCGATAGATGATTGACACGCCGAGAAGCCAAACTTTGAAGGTGCTAATGATTAGAATCAGGTAACGACTACCTGGGTATATAACAATAGTTTGATTAAATTATAGTTCGGCAGAACTTTCTCGATCGATCCTACCTTGTGCAGTGCTAGTGTGTTTATAAAAATCCAACGACCCTTCGACATTACGTAATCGTGCGTTCTGGTTTGCATGTACTTATGTAAAAGCTTTGAACACACTAAAAAATAATATTTTGAAGTCTGTTAGCGCACAATAAATTTTAGCGCTCAGGGGCTCTTGCGCCAAAGGCGCTAAAATTAGCAGTGCGCCAAATATTCTCGTTTTACAGTAGGTAACAGCGTGTATATATTATTCATACATGATTAAAAAGAGTACTTATTGTACTTCTTTCCTAGCTGATCTTTCCTTATATTTTATGAAGCAGAATTTATTCAAAAACCTTTACATGAGAAGACATCACTAGCTTTGGCCCTGAATTGGACATTCAGATATCACAATCATGTATGTATTCTCAATTAAAAAAAAGGTTATTTTCATTAGTATGTTCGATGTGTCTCAATGACTTTGTAAATTTTATGGTCATTTAAATGGACTCTTTAGCAAATATAAACTCTATTTGCGTCATATAATGAGACACACTGGCTACTTTGCTCATCTTGACTACTTCGCACACACAATGGAAGCCAGAAAAAATAGAAATAAGTTCAATATAGATAATCTAAATATTTATATTAGAGGAGCAATTTTACTTTTTCGAAGAATATTTCGAATAAACATGATTCTACACTATTCCAGAATGCTTCAATATAAATATCACTTATCACGGCTTTCATGTTCTTAAGAAAATGTTTTTTCATAAATATATTAATATGTTCCTGTAAAAGTAAACTTTAATTTGTCTTCTACTTAAGCTTTTTCTGCCTATCTACTTCTACCTAGGTGGACATGATTTGAAAAACCATGAAAAATTATTTTTGATTAATATTGCGATTTATGGTTTTGCTGAACTTTAGATAATTTTTTTTATTCAATTCTGATGCTAAATCTT